AATTGGATTTCATGGAATGTGTTCTCAACGAAACCATGAGATTATATCCGCCGGTCATTACATTTGTGTCCCGAGAATGTCTTCAGGACTACAAATATAAGGACATAACTATACCAAAGGGTACTTCAATACAAATGGCAGTCCATTATCTACACCACAACCCGGACTATTGGCCCGAACCCGAGGTCTTCGATGCCGAGAGGTTTAGCGCCGACCAAAAACACTTGATTCACCCGAACTCATGGCAACCATTCGGATGTGGTCCACGAAATTGCATTGGATTGAGATTTGCCTTATTTGAAGCCAAACTCTGTTTGGCTAAACTCCTACTTAACTATCGACTGATTCCCGGTCCGAAGACAGAGATGGGAAAGTTAACGACTGAATGTAAAGTTCTGACCTCAACGCCTAAACATGGTATTTATGTTAAAGTTGTTAAACTATAATATTATTTATTTAATATTGTTTTTTATATACAATACAATTATTTTAAAAAATTAAAACACTTTTTACAGTAAGTATATTACACAACATTTAAATAAACTTTTGATATTTAACTGTAACTTCTTATTAAAAAACTAATGCTTAGAAGGAATTACAGTGAATCTCCCCTAGCTGATCCAGTGGTGATTGATATGGTCATGTCCAGTATTGTTTGGACATTCATAAACAACCGTCAAAACTGCGAATGGCCACAATCACCAAAGTTATGGCCAAATTTCCAACCACTTGCATAGGGCTGAATGCATTGAATATTGGCTTTTCACATGAGTAATGCCAATCACCAAAACTATAATGCTATAAAGAGTATGCAAGTGTTTAGAAATTTGGCCATAACTTCTGTGATTCTGGCCATTCGCACGTTTTGACAATTTTTTATGAATCTCCATACAATACTGGACATGACCATATCAACCACGACTGGATCAGCTACGGGACATTCACTGTATTTTCTTCTTAATACTAATTTGTTCACGTTATAAAAACATTTTTTGAAATTAAACATATTTAGAAATTATAAAATTTTATTAAAACAAATTTAACAAGATATTTTAAAACGGGTAATTTATAAATACAAAAGAAATGACAACTGATATTATTTAGAAATAACTAACAAATAAATATTAATTATAATAAAAATATTTTAAATCTAGAACTAAAAAATTCTGTATTCAATTTGAATGTTAAAACCAAACGACAAATAATTTATGAATGAAAAAATAAGCGATTATTAGCGATAGAAACAAATTCACTGTTCGTACTGTTGTTTGGGATAACCATAATCTGGTGCCACAAACGGCTTGGGATTATTGATCCGTCGCTCGTATTGCATGAATGTCCGGACGGCTAACACCATACCTATGGTCGCAGTTATAAGAGCTAACACTCCGACGATAATCGCAATTATGGCCACTCTCTTAGCGCCGCTCTTTTGGTCGCTTCCAAACCATTCATTCATTGATGTAAACAATAGTAACGAACCGATCAAAACCATGAGGATTGCGACCACAATTGCACAGCCAATGCATTTAAAACAACAGTAATAGCATTTGGTCTCTTTGTTATATTTACTGGCGATGGGACTCCCCTTCATATCCATTATATCTTTTATAAATTAAATCAATTTATTATTTAAATCATAACAACTTTGAGATTATTTTCAACCGTATTTCAAATTTTCTGTTACTATTTTGTGTATCATTTTTCAAAGCTCGCGCAATTTACTTTTTAATAACTATACCAAAGGGTACTTTAGTACAAATGGCAGTCCATTATCTACACCACGACCCGGACTATTGGCCCGAACCCGAGGTCTTCGATCCCGAGAGGTTTAGCGCCGACCGGAAGCACGAGATTCACCCGAACTCATGGCAAGCCTTCGGATGTGGTCCACGAAATTGCATTGGAATGAGATTTGCCTTATTTGAGGCCAAACTTTGTTTGGCTAAACTCCTACTTAACTATCGACTAATTCCCGGCCCGAAGACAGAGATCGGAAAGTTGACGACTGAATGCAAAGTTCTGACCTCAACGCCTAAACATGGTATTTATGTTAAAGTTGTTAAACTATAATATTATTTATTTAATATTGTTTTTTAATAAAGTAATTAGTTCTAGTAATTATAATTATAATAAAAATAGTTTAAATCTTGAGCTAAGAAAATTCTGTGTTTAAATTGAATGTTAAAACCAAACAACAATTAATTTATAAATGAAAAAGTAAGCGATTATTGAAACAATTTCACTGTTCGTACTGTTGTTTGGGATAACCATAATCTGGTGCCACAAACGGCTTGGGATTATTGATCCGTCGTTCGTATTGCATGAATGTCCGGACGGCTAACACCATACCTATGGTCGCAGTTATAAGAGCTAACACTCCGACGATAATCGCAATTATGCCCACTGTCTTAGCGCCGCTCTTTTGGTCGAATCCGAACCATTCATTCATTGATGTCAACAATAATAACGAACCGATGAAAACAATTAGGATTGAGACCACAATTGAAGAGCCAAAGCATTTAAAATAAAAGTAATACAATTGGGTCTCTCTGTTATATCTACTGGCGATGGGACTCCTCTTCATATCCATTATATGTTTTATAAATTAAATCAATTTATTATTTAAATCATAATTGTTTTCACATTATTTTATTCAAATTTTCTGTTACTAATTTGTGTGTAATCTTTAAAAAGCTCGCGCTAATTACTTTTTAATATCATTACGTAAAGTAAAGTAAAGTTTATAATGTAAGTAAACTTTATAATCTATTTATTATAAAGTTTATAACTTATATTGCTTACCAGTGTAATACTTTATACAATAGGTTATAATAACTTAATTGTGTGCCAATTGTGATACAAATTATTATTATAATTAATGCAAATCTATCATAAAAATGCAGAAAATTATTACAACATTAGAAATGATTGATATTGGATATTACAACACCGAAAAATAAATAAATGTATTTTTTTAAACGAGTGGACATTTGCAAATTATTAATATTATTAGTTTAATAAAAGATTAATTTAATTAAAATGTGATGAATATTATTAGTACACATTTTATCAAAATGTACTAATCTTATATGAAAGCCATGTTTGTGAATATTGACTACTATTTAAAATATACAATAAGATAATTATAGACATTTGAATAATACTTAAAGTCCTTATGGGTATAAAAAACATACTAAAATATTGGACTTAAAAGTAAATAATTTTGTGCTTTTAGATTGCATATACTGTATAATATATTGCGTATATCCAATAAACATTTGACTTTCATATTCAGTTATTATTAAAAATATATTAATTTTTAATTAAATATTAGGTTTCAAAATATTGGTGTCAATCAAAATGTTCATGCTATCAATATCGATAATATTAACATTGTTAATAATGTACTTATATCGTAAAAGAGCAAAACACATGTCGGTGTTGAAGAGAAATGGTATTCCCGGCCCTAAACCTAATCTAATTACTGGAAATTTGATTGAATCGTTTAAATTGCCGTCAATTAAAAGAGATAAACAATGGATTAAAAAATACGGCAAAATAGTTGGCTATTATATGGGAGCGAAACCCACTGTTTTGGTGGCCGACGCGGACTTAGCGAAGAAAATACAGATCAAAGAGTTTCACAACTTCACAGATCGATCGCATTCTACGTTCAAGAATGGCATTAACGCCGAACCGGACTCTAAGGGAGCTATCATTAGATTAATTGGCAAACGTTGGAAAGAAGTGAGAAGTGTTTTGACGCCCACTTTCAGCGCATCCAAACTCAAGACAATGACACCCATTATAGACGATGCCATCAATAATTTCATTGACATCATTGAAAGGAAATGCAAAACTGGCGAAGAGTTTGATATTTACGATTTGTTTCAGAATCTGACGACTGATGTAATCGGAAGAACAGCTTTTGGTATTCAAAGTAATGTTCAAAATAAAGAAAATGACAAGTTTTTAGAAGCGGCCAAAGCTGTGTTTAATATGAAAGTTAATCGATTGACTATTTTAATCATACAATGCTTTCCACGAATGGATTTAATATTATATCCTTTTAGAAGACTTTCTGCGATAATTAAGCGCATGAGAGGAATGTCTGCCATTGGAATACACTATGATTTGGTCAGAGATATCATTGAATTGCGAAAACAAAATCCAAGTCGTCGTCGAAAAGATTTATTACAACTGATGTTAGACTCGAAGATATCGAGAGAAGAGATGTCTTCAATGAGTTACGAGACTATGACTGCGGGAAATGAAAACGAAATTCAGCCAAAAGGACACAAAAGTATCAAAAATAATAAGAATGACATTTCACTCACCGATTCAGAAATCAAAGCCAATTCTGTTGTCTTCTATGAAGCGGGATATGAGACGACGAGTACAGCACTCGGTTTTATGGCTCACATTCTCGTCAATTATCCCGATATACAGGAAAGGGTGAGAGAAGAGGTCCAACAACTATACGAAAATGAGGGTAAACTCGATATTAATTGTGTAAATAAGTTAGAATTCATGGAATGTGTTTTTAACGAAACCATGAGATTATATCCGCCGGTCATTACATTTGTTGCTCGAGAATGTCTTCAGGACTACAAATACAAAGACATAACTATACCAAAAGGCACTTCAATACAAATGGCTGTCCATTATCTGCATCACGACCCGGACTATTGGTCCGAACCCGAGGTCTTTGATCCCGAGAGGTTTAGCGCCGATCGTAAACATCAGATTCACCCGAATTCATGGCAAGCCTTTGGAAGTGGTCCACGAAATTGCATTGGAATGAGATTTGCCTTATTTGAGGCCAAACTAGCGTTGGCTAAACTTCTCCTTAACTATCGCTTAACTGCCGGCCCGAAGACCGAGATGGGAGTGTTGGCCACCAATTGCAAAGTGGCCACTTTAACTCCAAAGAATGGAGTGTTTGTCAAGGCTGTCAAAATTTAGATTCTAATAAAATTAATTATTATAACTACTCTAAATTTACCAAATTTGCGAATAATTGTAATTCTTATTTAACAATTAAAATATATAAATATATAAACTTTTGAAAATTTTAATTAATTATAGCATTTGTTTGATATTTCTAATAAATATGATTGTGCTATTATATGTATATTTCTAAATTATACAGTATATTAAATTTAACAGGATTTTATTCACTAATCAGTAGTTACACTGTGTAACTTACATAAATGATTTCTATAATCACAATAAATGAAATTTTTAATGAAATATAATTAATTTATAGTACAGTATATATTATTAAACTATCAAATGCAATGCTTGACTACATTATAAATAGAAATCTCAATTAACATTACTTGCTCTCATGTATTGTATATTTTAACAAACTATAAAAATTAAAACTAAAATTTTCTAAAACAATTAAAGAAATGTATATTATAATTGATATAAGTTTGTATTCAAAGTCAAATGTTATGATCCAAACTTGATTTTAGGGCCTAAAGTTTAGGCGATATTCTTAATACTAATCATTAGAAACAAATGGTAAGACATAAACTTATTAACATTATTTAATTAGTTACATAAAATTTTATGATAGTGTCACATTATTTATTATACATGTTTCATATTAAACTTTTCAATACTGATTAAACAGCATTATGATTTAATTAGTACAAACAAATACATATTCACGTTTAAATCACATGCGCTAAATAATTTGAGTTACGTAGTGTAATAACGTGTGTAATCAGGACAAATTGTTTGTTATTATTAATAACTATTAAATCAATCTGAATTCGGAACGAATTGACTTGCTTATAGCGTGACCAACCATCCTCTATTTCAAAGGAAATCCTTTATTTCGAGTATTTAACTACTGTCCACTAGTTCATTTTCTAATAAACACTGAAACTTGAGGTGAAAAATTCTACATTAAATACACCATTAATAATGTGTCATCTATTTGTTCTCTAAAATTCAGAGAATATAAATCTAAAGTCCTCTTTTTTTAAAACTCAAGTTGGTCACGCTAGTTGCTTATCAAATGGTAACCAATAATATAATCTAAATATTTATTATATTGAAATTGAGTGCGAATAGTATTTTTAGTGCGAGTGAATTGCAATCCTATGGAGT